TGTTTTTGTTTTAGACAATACCTGTTTTGACAACTGATGCACCATTTAAACAGTGGCAGAAAGATATATCTAAATTTGCATGGCAGGGGAAAAAAATCACAAGTTAAACATAAGGTGCCACAAGGAAAGAGGAAGATTGGGTCTACCTGATTTGAGATTATATTTTGCAGCTTGCTCTTTGGTTTGGATGAAGAAATAGAAGGCTCTTGGAGTTAGGACATGACCTGAAATTTGGGTGGCACTTGTGGTAGGATGAAGTCAGGGTTAATGTGGATTTTAAAAATCATTATTTTAGACGTGCCACATTAAGAATATGGAGTAGATACAAACCCAGGTTGTGCCTGAAAACACCCTTGTGGCTTCTAGCCCAAGAAGCATTTTACAGATGAGAAGTAATAGGCAAACACAAATGGCTAACTTATCATGAGATATTAGAATTTTGTCAAGGGGAATATAAAATAAAATCAAGAGAAGAACTGGTGGCAGAGGGATATAGTTGTCAATAGTTCTCTTATTTACAATTATTAGAAAGATTTAAAGTAGACAAAATTTATGGTTTTGAACATTGTAAGACTGAGTTTGAAACAGAACTGTGTACAAATGATGAACATGTAATTGCTAAAATGTATACACTTTTATTGAAATTTGAAACAGAGGAAGAACAAGTGAAAGAATGCATGATAAAGTGAGATAAAATTTTTGGTTATAATACACAGATGGAGCAATGAGAAAATATGTGTCTGAAAGGACTGCAATTTACACTATGTTATAATCTTAAAGAGAATTTTTATAAACTGGTTGGTATTTGTCATCAGAAAAATTGTCTAGAACGTATAAAGGCACTTCAAATTTATGCTGGAAGTGTAACCAGCAAGAGGGGACTTTTTATCATGTTTGGGAGGCATGCAAAAAAGCTAGAAAATTCTGGATTCAGAGGATTTTAAAGATTAATATACAATTGAGACTAGAATTCTTCCTGTTGGGACTGATGGACAAACAATTGGGAAAAAAAGTTATGGAACTTTGTTTTTGTACATGATAACTGCAGTGAGATTATTGTATGCAGAAAGATGGGGGGATTCGGCATTTCCCACAATGGAGGAATGGTTGGTGAAGATGATGGAACTTGCTGAGATGGTCAGATTGACTTCTTTGATCAGAGAAAAGACAACATCTATGTTTATTGCTGACTGGAAACCCTTTATAGACTTTTTGGGTGAAACTGAAAAAAATGCACTTATGATTTATGGTTTTGATGATTAGACAGGATAGATTATCAAAAGAAGACAGTTATGTTATAACCACAGAATAAGAGGTAAATTTATAATTGTACTTATAACTGCTGTAAAGAAGATCAGAAGCCACTTCTTCATATCTTTTTTCTTTATTTTCTATTTTTCTTTTACTTTTTTTCCCTTTCTTGCACTTTTAGCTTTCTCTTTGATTTTTTTCTTTTTTTCCTTTTTCTTACTTCATATTAGTTTGTATTAGTTTTTATTTTCCTTTAAAAAAAATAATAACAATTAGATTTAAAAAAATAAGGTAAAGTTCCTCTATGTTCTTTCCCACAGCAGTAGACCAAGAATATATTTGGCTTGAGAGGCCTCCTCATTCTTTCCAGGGTGCTGACAGGACCTGGAGGGAGGAGAGAGACCCAGCCAAGGGGAACAAGTAACTCCAGTTTCATGCCCTCTGCTCTTTGTGGCACAGGTCTTTCAAGAGAATCAGGAAATTACAGCTAGTAGCATTTCTCATGTGCCACATTAGCCTGTGTTAAACAGCTGCATTGGTTCCAGTTGCTTTGCAAGCCTAGTCCAGGGTCTACCCTTCAGAACTCAAAGCCTCGCAGAGCTTCAGCCAAGAGACCTCCAGGCCCGCCATTGTTTGCTCTGCGCTCTTTTTGGTCTTCAACAGGATACCTTTGGCAAGTCCTACAGAGATGTGCCAAACATCCACAGCCATGGTGGAGCCTTCACTGTATACAAACTGCAACTGGAGTTGAGACACTGGTACCTCAGCATTTCCAAGAGTCTCCAGATTAAATAATTTAGGCCAGAAAATATGCCTCTTCCTGAAAGCTTAGACAACTGCAGAAGACAAATCTGGGCTTGATAGACCAGGGTCCCCCAAATATAACACAGTGAGGCCTCCCAGAAGCACAATATGGATCCATGCATGTGACCTGTATTTGATCTATCTAGTGTACCGATGTGTAGGCAGGGTATACTGCTGAAGACACAAGAAGTAGATGCAGAGGCCTGAAAGAGCAGACAGGATAGAGGGAGGACCCTTGATCAAAACTCTCCTGCCTGGTCTCTCTCTCCCTCCCCCGTCCCCATATTTTGCTCTGTCTCCAGAAGGCATGGCAAGGGGGAGCTGTGCTGTACATATGCACACACACACGCACACACACACGCACACACTTTTCATTTTGGGGATAACAGGAGCAGCTAGGCCCAACTCTCCTGGATAGCAAAGGTGAGCAGAAAGTCACTCTGCTTTCTATGAAGCATCAAAAATCCAAGGGCAAGCAAATCAGATAATTGCAAGTTTTGCCGACCTGCGATTCTTTTTATTTTAATCTATTACGTTTGTTTGCTCTTCCCTTTGTCCCATGAGTTCACATTAGTGGACGTGGGCTAGTAATTTATAGCGTATTTTAGGGTCAGCAATCTCTCACTGTGGCAGTGTGATGTCTGTCTTTGTTAGTAATTTGTCACCACAGGAATGGCTGAGTGACCTTAGAAGATGCTATCAATTGCTCATAAGGAAATGGCTGAAGACTACTCTGCTTTCCCAAGTCATTGTCTCAACAGGTCTCTGAGGATGGTTGGGCTGAGACAGCAGGACGCATTCATTAAGGGATTTATCCGATTAATGGGTGAAGGTTTGAGCCAGACGTCCAAGAGTCTAAATAGTCATGGAGCTCCTCCCCTTTTTAAATGATATTTTCAAAAATGTACATGATATTTTATCCAAAGTCCTAGGTTCAAGAAGAAGAACATCAGTGCCAGGCCCCAGATAAAAGGACTCACCCAAGTTCTGAGAGGTGTGCTCCTCAAGAGAAAGAGACTGGTTAGCCAAGGGACTATCAAGATTACCAGCTTCTAAGAGTTAAGTGGCATCACCCAGCTCAAGGATGGATCTCCCTCTGCTTCTCTAGGCAAGGCTTATTGTGCCATTAGTTGGATTGATCCAGACACAAGGGTAATCACACGTCAGATGAGCATTAACATTATTTTCTAGCCCTGCTTCTTACCGTCACTATTTGGCTGACATACATTCCACAGCAAACATTTATTTCATAAGGCTTTGTGTCCTGCTTTTTTCCTTCTTGGGAGTCACAGTGGTGAGATCCTGGGAATGTAAGAAGATTTGTCAGCATCACCATTATGCTAATATGACTAAATTTTGCTCTCTGCCGCCCTTTTATTGAATGAAGCCATACCACAAAAGAGACTGAAACACCAGATTTTTGAACTGTATATAATTGTTTCTGTAAGCCATCAGATAGTCTTTTGAAAGTAGTTTTCTACTCAAACTGAAAAAGGGGTTTCTGGAGCTTTCAAAAAGAGAAGTGGAGGTACTTTTGGCCTTCAGTGCCAAATGGCTCAGACCTCTTTGCTTAAAACAAAGACAGGCTTTCGATTGACAACTTCATTGAAGCCACAGTTCAGTTATAATAACTTAAAGGGGCAACAGAGCAATATTTGGAAGATTTGGACCACCACTGGCAGAAGTTGGGGCCCCTTGTATGAACTGTCCAAACAGATGCCATTTCCAATAGGTGCACATACAAGAAAAACCTCTCTGTGTGTGTCAAGCAACTCTTAACTGCTTCCCATGTGGTCAGTGAGTGGTCTGTTGTGAGTGCTAAGTCCAGCAGCAATGAATCGGTGGAACCTTGCTTCATAACAGCCCTGGAAATGGAAACTTGCTAGGCCCCTACACAGCATGTCTCACAGCAGTGTCGGCATGTAGACAATTCTCAAAGTACTTTGATGGACTGCCCTCCTTCTAGCTATATGCAGAACACAAACCGTTGGTCCCCCTAAGATTTGAAGTGGGTACGCTAGATATTCTCCTCTAGACAACTCTGATAAGCCCATTTTAGGGCTTTATGTGTTTCCCACCATGAAACAGTAAGAAACTATGCCACTGAATGTTGACAAACCTGAAATTCAATGGGGCAGTTAAAGAGGGTCCCAGAGGTTGCAGAAGAGCAGCTGAGGATCAGACACAATACTGGACCTGCAATGGATTTCAGGAGAGGTGACAATAATATTTAATTTAATTTAATTTAATTTAATTTAATTTAATTTAATTTAATTTAATTTAATTTAATT